GTGTGCGTGTGCGTGTGCGTGTGCGTGTGCGTGTGCGTGAGTGTGATTGTGAGTGTGAGTGATTGTGAGTGTGAGTGAGTGTGAGTGTGAGTGCGTAGTGTGTGTGTGTGTGTGTGTGTGTGTGAGTGTGAGTGTGAGTGTGAGTGTGTGTGCGAGTGTGAGTGCGTGTGTGAGTGCGTGTGTGAGTGCGAGTGTGTGTGTGAGTGTGTGAGTGTGATTGTGTGTGTGAGTGTGATTGTGTGTGTGTGTGTGTGTGTGTGAGTGTGAGTGTGAGTGTGAGTGTGAGTGTGAGTGTGAGTGTGTGTGCGAGTGTGAGTGTGAGTGTGAGTGTGTGTGCGAGTGTGAGTGTGAGTGTGAGTGTGTGTGCGAGTGTGAGTGTGAGTGTGAGTGTGTGTGCGAGTGTGAGTGTGAGTGTGAGTGTGTGTGCGAGTGTGAGTGTGAGTGTGAGTGTGTGTGCGAGTGTGAGTGTGAGTGTGAGTGTGTGTGCGAGTGTGAGTGTGAGTGTGAGTGTGTGTGCGAGTGTGAGTGTGAGTGTGAGTGTGTGTGCGAGTGTGAGTGCGTGTGTGAGTGTGAGTGTGTGTGTGAGAGTGTGTGTGAGTGTGATTGTGAGTGTGAGTGCGTGTGTGAGTGTGAGTGTGAGTGCGTGTGCGTGTGTGAGTGTGAGTGCGTGTGTGTGTGTGTGTGTGATTGAGAGTGTGAGTGAGTGAGTGAGTGAGTGTGAGTGTGTGTGTGTGTGTGTGTGATGGCTGCAGGCCCTCTAGCGCTGGAACTCATCAAACGACTTTAAAGTCCTTCAGCTCTGTTACTGAAACAGACAGGATGTTAATTACCCAGTGTGTCTCTCTTAGGTCGTTTAGCCCCCGGCCCCGCCCACATCACTCATGAAAATCTCTAGCTCCACCCACATCACAAAATAATCACAACTCTAGCTCCGCCCACATCACTAAATAATATCTACAGGCCCGCCCTCAAATAGTGTGGCAGTGATTTATGAATATTCATCAATCTAGCCCCGCCCACACCACACCACATTTACTTCTATAGTCCCACCCACATCTGTGAATAATCACATCCCCGGCTCCGCCCACATCACTCATGAAAATCTCTAGCTCCACCCACATCACAAAATAATATCTACAGTCCCGCCCACATTTACTACTAATAAAATTAAAAATGTAAAATAAAAATAAATCATTAAAAAATCTAAATAGAAAACATATAAAAAAATCTAAATAAAATACTAAAAAAATAAATCATTAAAATAAATAATTAAAAAATAAAACAATTAAAATAGTGTGCAGGTGTGCGTATCTCACCTGTGTGCTGAGGTCTGTGATCATCTTCCCTCGCGTCTTGTTCCTCTCTCTGTGATCGGCGCGCTTCTGTCTCTGCTGCAGGACGCGCTCGCGAGTGGTGCGGTACTCCAGAGCGAACTCACTGAGGAGCTTACTGAACCGAGTCACGCTGACCTCACGAGCGCTGTACGCCGGCTGACCCAGGAACAGCAGAAACCAGTGAAACCTGCCACACAAACAACACGATTAATAAAACCCTCTCCCATCGAGTCCAAGAGCTTATACTGGACCTCTGACCGCTCTCACGCTTATTGCATTTTGATTGTTTGTTTTCTTTTTTCTAATTTACATTTCTAATTTACATTTTTAAGTATTTCATTTTATTTAATTTTATTTTAAAATTTTTATGATTTGAATAAATTTTTTTATTTTATTCAAATTGTTTTATTAAAAGAAATATTAATCAAATGTATACCGTCATGATTTTTATTTAAATAAAAATTATTTACACTTATTAGTAAGTGTTTTTTGATAGTTTTTTATTTTTAAAAGATTTATTTGAAATTTGAAATTTTTGAAATTTTTAATACATTTTTAGTATTTCAATTGTTATTATAAAATGATATAATTTTAATAAATCAAAAAAATGTAATACATTTTTAAAAGTGTTAAAAAGGTTTATTTTATTTTATTTTATTTAAAATGTTTATGACCACTAAATGGTTAGGGTTTTTTTTGTTTATTTTTTGTAGATTTTTATTTATTTTAAAATGATTCTTATTTTTATGATTGCAATACATTTTCAGTACGTGTTTTATTTGGATTGTTTTGAAAAAATTATTTATTTTTATTTCACATTTTGATTATTTTAATACATTTTTACTACGTGTTTTTTATATTATAAAGTTTTTATAATTTTAATTAATTTTTAGTTTTATTTTGATTTTTTTTTTTATAAATTATTTATTTAGATCTTACATTTTCAAGTATCTTACGTTTTTTTTTACATTTTATTTTTACAGAAATGAATGTAACCTGGTATGGAAACAACAGAGATAAAGCTAATCTTGATTAATGTCACATATCCCAGATTTGACCCAGATATGACCTGTTCATGATCCTGCGGTGGACAGTTTTGAGGATGATGATTCTCTCGGCGCAGTCCTTCAGGAAGTCCGACATCTTCTGCTTCAGCGCCGGCTTCATCTCGTGCTTTGCGATGACTTTCAGGTGGTCCCATGATGCTTTGCAGCGCCACTCCATCTGAGTCAGAGTCTCCTGCAGCTGGCCGAAGTCCACCTGCGGACCGAAGACACAAACGCAGACGTCACTTCCGCAGCATTCATCTACAATTACAGTTTATTATTGAAGTTATTTGATTTAGTTTTTATTTTAATATTTTCATTTTAGGTTTTTTTTCAAGTTTTTGTTTTTTTTGTGTTTTTGTCATTTTTATAAGTTTTTTTTATTTCATTTAATAATTGTTTATTCCTTATTTGCAAGTTCTTCTAATTTGGTTGTTTTTAATGTTTATACATTTTATTTGATTATTTATTCTATTTATATATAGTTTATACTTTTTATTTTATTAATTTTTATTTAATTTAATACATTTTTATTCCTCTTTTGCAAATATCTTCCTCATTTGCATTTTTTAAAATGTCTACATAGTTTTTATTACTTTTTATTTTATTTAATACATTTTTACTCCTCATTTGCAAGTTTTCCTCATTTTAATTATTTTTTTTAAACGTCTGTGTAGTTTTTATATCTTTTTCTCATTCTCTCAACAATGTTTTATTAATTTTTATTTAATTTAATAAATTTTTATTCCTCTTTTGCAAATATCTTCCTCATTTGCATTTTTTAAAATGTCTACATAGTTTTTATTACTTTTTATTTTATTTAATACATTTTTACTCCTCATTTGCAAGTTTTCCTCATTTTAATTATTTTTTTTAAACGTCTGTGTAGTTTTTATATCTTTTTCTCATTCTCTCAACAATGTTTTATTAATTTTTATTTTATGTTTATTTTATTTTTATTCCTCATTCGCAAGTTTTCCTAAATGTTTATTAGTTTTTTTAAAAATATGTCTAAATAGTCTTTATTCATTTCCATTTTTATTTTATTAATTTCTTTTTTATTTAATAAATTTTTATTCTTCATTCATAAGTCGCTTTGGATAAAAGCATCTGATAAATTAATAAATGTATTTCAGTTTTAGTTATTTTAGTACTTAAACTAGATGAAAATAAAAATGTTGCCCTGGCAATTACCTGAAAAAGTTAAAATGTCTACATAGTTTTTATTACTTTTTATTTTATTTAATACATTTTTACTCCTCATTTGCAAGTTTTCCTCATTTTAATTATTTTTTTAAACGTCTGTGTAGTTTTTATATCTTTTTCTCATTCTCTCAACAATGTTTTATTAATTTTTATTTTATGTTTATTTTATTTTTATTCCTCATTCGCAAGTTTTCCTAAATGTTTATTAGTTTTTTTAAAAATATGTCTAAATAGTCTTTATTCATTTCCATTTTTATTTTATTAATTTCTTTTTTATTTAATAAATTTTTATTCTTCATTCATAAGTCGCTTTGGATAAAAGCATCTGATAAATTAATAAATGTATTTCAGTTTTAGTTATTTTAGTACTTAAACTAGATGAAAATAAAAATGTTGCCCTGGCAATTACCTGAAAAAGTTTTTCTATATTTTATTTCAGTTAACGTTTATATTATATCAAGTACAATTTAATGGTAGTAGTTTTAGTTAATGATAATAACCCTGCACTGCACTGACAATCAGGAACATGCTATTTTTTGTATGTTTTGAACATTTTTATAAAGTTTTTTAATGTCTATATAGTTTAGAGGAGCGTGTGTTACTTTAGCGGAGCGTGTGTGACTCTAGCGGAGCGTGTGTGACTCTAGCGGAGCGTGTGTGACTCTAGCGGAGCGTGTGTGACTCTAGCGGAGCGTGTGTGACTCTAGCGGAGCGTGTGTGACTCTAGCGGAGCGTGTGTGACTCTAGCGGAGCGTGTGTGACTCTAGCGGAGCGTGTGTGACTCTAGCGGAGCGTGTGTGACTCTAGCGGAGCGTGTGTGACTCTAGCGGAGCGTGTGTGACTCTAGCGGAGCGTGTGTGACTCTAGCGGAGCGTGTGTGACTCTAGCGGAGCGTGTGTGACTCTAGCGGAGCGTGTGTGACTCTAGCGGAGCGTGTGTGACTCTAGCGGAGCGTGTGTGACTCTAGCGGAGCGTGTGTGACTCTAGCGGAGCGTGTGTGACTCTAGCGGAGCGTGTGTGACTCTAGCGGAGCGTGTGTGACTCTAGCGGAGCGTGTGTGACTCTAGCGGAGCGTGTGTGACTCTAGCGGAGCGTGTGTGACTCTAGCGGAGCGTGTGTGACTCTAGCGGAGCGTGTGTGACTCTAGCGGAGCGTGTGTGACTCTAGCGGAGCGTGTGTGACTCTAGCGGAGCGTGTGTGACTCTAGCGGAGCGTGTGTGACTCTAGCGGAGCGTGTGTGACTCTAGCGGAGCGTGTGTGACTCTAGCGGAGCGTGTGTGACTCTAGCGGAGCGTGTGTGACTCTAGCGGAGCGTGTGTGACTCTAGCGGAGCGTGTGTGACTCTAGCGGAGCGTGTGTGACTCTAGCGGAGCGTGTGTGACTCTAGCGGAGCGTGTGTGACTCTAGCGGAGCGTGTGTGACTCTAGCGGAGCGTGTGTGACTCTAGCGGAGCGTGTGTGACTCTAGCGGAGCGTGTGTGACTCTAGCGGAGCGTGTGTGACTCTAGCGGAGCGTGTGTGACTCTAGCGGAGCGTGTGTGACTCTAGCGGAGCGTGTGTGACTCTAGCGGAGCGTGTGTGACTCTAGCGGAGCGTGTGTGACTCTAGCGGAGCGTGTGTGACTCTAGCGGAGCGTGTGTGACTCTAGCGGAGCGTGTGTGACTCTAGCGGAGCGTGTGTGACTCTAGCGGAGCGTGTGTGACTCTAGCGGAGCGTGTGTGACTCTAGCGGAGCGTGTGTGACTCTAGCGGAGCGTGTGTGACTCTAGCGGAGCGTGTGTGACTCTAGCGGAGCGTGTGTGACTCTAGCGGAGCGTGTGTGACTCTAGCGGAGCGTGTGTGACTCTAGCGGAGCGTGTGTGACTCTAGCGGAGCGTGTGTGACTCTAGCGGAGCGTGTGTGACTCTAGCGGAGCGTGTGTGACTCTAGCGGAGCGTGTGTGACTCTAGCGGAGCGTGTGTGACTCTAGCGGAGCGTGTGTGACTCTAGCGGAGCGTGTGTGACTCTAGCGGAGCGTGTGTGACTCTAGCGGAGCGTGTGTGACTCTAGCGGAGCGTGTGTGACTCTAGCGGAGCGTGTGTGACTCTAGCGGAGCGTGTGTGACTCTAGCGGAGCGTGTGTGACTCTAGCGGAGCGTGTGTGACTCTAGCGGAGCGTGTGTGACTCTAGCGGAGCGTGTGTGACTCTAGCGGAGCGTGTGTGACTCTAGCGGAGCGTGTGTGACTCTAGCGGAGCGTGTGTGACTCTAGCGGAGCGTGTGTGACTCTAGCGGAGCGTGTGTGACTCTAGCGGAGCGTGTGTGACTCTAGCGGAGCGTGTGTTACTTTAGCGGAGCGTGTGTTACTTTAGAGGAGCGTGTGTTACTTTAGAGGAGTGTGTGTTACTTTAGAGGAGTGTGTGTTACTTTAGAGGAGTGTGTGTTACTTTAGAGGAGCGTGTGTTACTTTAGAGGAGTGTGTGTTACTTTAGAGGAGCGTGTGTTACTTTAGCGGAGCGTGTGACGGCGCCGATCTCAGAGTACAGGTCTGTGCTGTCGGGGAAGTTCTCCACCACGATGCTGCAGACGTGATGCAGGAGCGACTGCTTATGAACTGTGTCCTTCACCTCAGGGACCTTCTCCAGATACGTCAGATCGAAGCCTTTGGCCTGCGCAAACATCATCAGTCAGACACATCAAAATAACGATAATAAAGCTTTTGAGTGCGTGTCGTGCTGAAGTCTCACGCTGGAGCCGTTTAGGAAGTTTCCGATCGCCAGCAGAGTCGAAAATATGAAGCGCAGCGTTCTGTTCTTCTCCAGCTGATCCATGCCCTCCTTCAGGTCCTGTAGTGGCTCGGCCACTTCCTGTCAAACCGGAAACACGATTAACATGATTAACAGTGTCATTTACTATGAATAGAGCTACTATTAGTTTTATTACAAGTTTGAATTCATTTTTATTTTATATTTTCTGTTTTCATTTTAAAGTTGTATTCATTTTGTAGGGTTTTTTTTCAGTTTTATTAGTTTTTTTTATTTATATGTCCCTAGTGAAATATAAATATACTTAAATGTATTTGAAATACATTTATTTCATGCCAAGTATACTACAAATACATTTTCATATTTATGTACTTAATAAAATTCCCTGCAATTGTACTTTAAGTATACTAAACTGGTTTACTTAAAGTCTGCTAAATTGGAACAACTAATTTTGTACTTAATGCACTTTAATTATATACTTTGTATATTTGATTGTGCTAAAGTGGAACTATTGCAAGTATACTTCAGGTACACTAAATATTTTGCATTTAAAGACCGATATTATTACAATCCTCATCAAAAGTGACATTAAAACACATTTTAGACTTAATATTAAGAAAAGTGCATTGTGCACGAGTAGCACGCCAAATAAAGTTTAATTATATTTTTATACCAGTAAGTCTCAAGTTATCTGTCAGTAAATATATTAATAGATTTGAACTATACTTAGTATAACATAAAGGTATTTTAAATATATTAGGGTCTATATAGATACATTTTTAGTTATTTTAGTAAATCAAGTTAAACTAAATGATCTGAAACTTTATTTCAGATCAGTATTTTTTTATTTCAAGTAATTAAAAACTATAGGTTTCATTTTCATTTTAGTTAAAGTTTTAGTAATTTTGTTGTGAGTTGTCATTTTTATTATTTATGCATTTTTTTTAAATGCCCATATTTTTAAGCATTTTATTTTAGTTTAACGGAGTTATTTGTATTACATCAAAAATGAGAAATGTTTCCTTGGCAACTAGCTGAAATTAAATTACAGTTTTAAAGTTGTTTTTTATATTTTATTTCTGATAATGTTTATTTTATTTCCAGCAACAAAAGTTTTTATGGTTTTTATTTTAATTATAGTAAAGGAATTTTGTTGCGTGTATTTTGCATTTTTTAAGCTATTTTAGATAAACTAGTTATTTTAGTTTAGTAGAAAGATGAAATAATTATATTAATAATAATATATATATATAACATACATATATATATATATATATATTTTTTTTTCTTTTTAGTTAACTTTTATTTAACTTGTTTTGTGGTTTAGTTTTAGTTAGCTACAATAACACTGATGATTAATTAACCTATTAAATGCCTGGTCATTTTGACAGCACATTAAAGATCGTGAGCATCGTGAGCAGATGAGTTATAGGACGTGTTTTATACGCAGGTACAGATCTGTGAAACACCACATTCCCTGTGTCTTCAGGATCTGAGATGGAGGAGAAAACAAATGTGTTTCTGGTTATTGAGTCTTTTGTTTGTAGCACACGATGTGCCTCTCCATTAGGACGATTGAAAACATCTCCTGCGTCAGAGAACGATAAAACACCACAACCCGAGGAATGCTGGAAACTTCACAGAGAGAGAGAGATGGGAATGTTCTGTGCTCTCCGAGCGTCTTCACTAGCGCTGTCACCTTTGCAGGTAAAGAGAGTCTGTAAACGTGACGTCAGCGCGGTCTAATATCAGTACTAATGTAAGTGTAAAGGTCTTTGCACACTGAGACCGAAATTATCGTCCGAAATTTTCTCATGTTAAAAAATAATGTTGTGTCAATCACGTTTACACAATGCCTCTGAAACTTTCGTCCCCAAAATTCAGACCAGGTTAGATTTTCTGCGTTTTCGCATCCGTAGCAAGCATTTTGATAGGAAAGGATGACAAACATGAAAAAACACATATATAAAAATTTCTGACTCCGTGTGCAAGGACCTTAACACTTGACACTTTCACAACACTGATCTAAATCAGTGATCTAAATCTAAAACAGATAATTTTATGACTAAGGCCGTGCTCTTCATACGTCTTAAGTTAACCAGTGTTGTTATACGATTATAGTTTCTGTTTTTATTTTATTTTTATATATTTTTAATGTTTTAATTTAAATTGTAGTTAAAATTGTAGTCATTTTGTTGCACATTTTTGTTATTTTTATTAGTTTTTTTTTTTATATGTCTATATATTTTTTATTAATTTTTATTTAAGTTTTAGTTTAGGTTATTTTAGTACATCAAGGTAAACTAATTGAGAAATGTATCCTTGGCAACTAGCTAAAATAAAAATTTTTAAATTTAATTTATTTTTCATTTTATTTCAGTTAAAGTTCATTTTATTCCGAATTAAAAAAAAAAAAAAGCTTTTTCATGGTTTTAGTTTTAGTTAACTAACTAACTAACTAACTAAGCCCTATGTTTAACATCTAAGTAGCACTTATGTTAGTTTTTAGATCAAACTGTCCCATTTTATTTAGAATTCTGTCAATTCTTCAGAAAGAATGGTTAATCTTTGTAGGATTTTGTCCATTTTTTAAATATATTGAATAAAAAACAGTTGCATGTACTCACAAATATAATATCATTCAAAATGTTTTTCTTTAAAATAAATTTATACTTTCATTAATTAAGGACACATTAAATTGATCGAAAGTGACAGTGAAGATATTTACAATGTTACAAAAGATTTCTATTTCAAATAAACGCTGTTCTTTTGAACTTTGTTCATCTGTGAATCCTGAAAACATTGATAATAATCAGAAATGTTTCTTAGATCAGCATATTATACTGATTTCTGAAGATCATGTGACACTGAAGACTGGAGGAATGATGCTGAAAATACAGCTGCGCATCACAGAAATACATTACAGTTTAACATTTATTCACATAAGACATAAAACAGCTGTTTGAAACTGTAAAAATATTTCACTGTTTTTACTTTCATTAATTAAGGACACATTAAATTGATCGAAAGTGACAGTGAAGATATTTACAATGTTACAAAAGATTTCTATTTCAAATAAACGCTGTTCTTTTGAACTTTGTTCATCTGTGAATCCTGAAAACATTGATAATAATCAGAAATGTTTCTTAGATCAGCATATTATACTGATTTCTGAAGATCATGTGACACTGAAGACTGGAGGAATGATGCTGAAAATACAGCTGCGCATCACAGAAATACATTACAGTTTAACATTTATTCACATAAGACATAAAACAGCTGTTTGAAACTGTAAAAATATTTCACTGTTTTTACTGTGTTTTTGATCAAATAAATGCAGCCTTGCTGAGCAGAAGAGACTCGCTCACCTTCTCGGTGGCTTCATAGTCGAGTTTGAAGGCCCAGAGCTGCAGGCGTGCAGAGAGCTCACTGATGGAGGACAGTGTCAGCAGGAACTGCTCTGCGCTGCCCAGCGGAATGTCAGGATTCGCTAGCTGAGCTTCCTGGATCTTCTGCGTCTCTTCCTCCGTGGGAATCATTGTCAGGATTTTCTACAGCATGAGAGAGGGATGAGGCTAAATGTAACATTCTAAGGCAAAAATTTAACATTCTGAAATAACAAATTGTAACATTCTAAGGAAAAATGTTAAATTCTGAAATAACAAATTGTTACATTCTAAAATGGCCAAATGTAACATTCTGAAATAACTAATTGTAACATTCTAAGACCAAATGTAACATTATATGGCAAAATGTAACCTTCTAAAATGGTGAAATTTAACATTCTAAAATGGCAAAATGTAACATTCAAATATGGCACAAATGTAACATTCTAAAATGGCAAATTGTAGCATTCTAAAATGGCAAAATTTTACATTCTAAAATGGTAAAATGTAACATTCTGAAATAACGAATTGTAACATTCTTTGGCAAAATGTAACATTCTAAAATGGTGAAATGTAACATTCTGAAATGGCAAAATGTAACATTCTAAGATGGCAAAAATGTAGCATTCTAAAATGGCCAAATGTAACATTCTAAGATGGCGAAAATGTAACATTCTAAGATGGCAAAAATGTAACATTCTAAAATGGTGAAATGTAACATTCTGAAATGGCAAATTGTAACATTCTAAGATGGCAAAAATATAACATTCTAAAATGGCAAAATGTAACATTCTAAGATGGCAAAAATGTAACATTCTAAAATGGTGAAATGTAACATTCTGAAATGGCAAAATGTAACATTCTAAGATGGCAAAAATGTAGCATTCTAAAATGGCAAAATGTAACATTCTAAGATGGCGAAAATGTAACATTCTAAGATGGCAAAAATGTAGCATTCTAAAATGGCCAAATGTAACATTCTAAGATGGCGAAAATGTAACATTCTAAGATGGCAAAAATGTAACATTCTAAAATGGTGAAATGTAACATTCTGAAATGGCCAAATGTAACATTCTAAGATGGCAAATTGTAACATTCTAAGATGGCAAAAATATAACATTCTAAAATGGCAAAATGTAACATTCTAAGATGGCAAAAATGTAACATTCTAAAATGGTGAAATGTAACATTCTGAAATGGCAAATTGTAACATTCTAAGGCAAAATGTAACATTCTATTTTTGAGGGGGCACGAGTGGGGGGGGGGGCACAATAGCACTTATGTTCTTATGTTTTATTTTTTTCCTTTTTATTCAAAACATTCCCAAACTATATCATGAAATATCTTGATTCTTACCTTTATAGATCATGTTAGTTGATCTATAGTGGGCGATGGTCAAAGTAGCCTAATAATATAGTCTATTAACTATGTATAAAAACCTGTCTATTTACTTAAGTAACAGATATGGGTGTCATGCCATAACATAGTTTTAATACGACTGACTTTATATTTAATGTGAATTTAACATTGAAAGTAATTGTGAATAAAAACATTGTAAGTTAGGCTACTTATCATGACACTTTCATTGTACAGAAAGAGAGCAAAGAACATTTTCACTGACAACCTAGAGTTCAAGCACTCTCAAAAACTCCCTTTAAAAGCTGTTTACACTGTGAAATGAATATCTTACTTACAGATTCATACACACATCTGCACTTTGTTGTTTCTAACTAAAGAATTCGCCAGAAAGAGGTATTCAGTCAGCGAGCGTGAAGAAAACACCGGCATTTTAGCAATGACTCATCTGAACACCTCTGATTGGCCATTGCATTCATAAGCTCAACAGCATCGTGTGTGATTGGTTATAATGCGCAGTGCTGTAAAAACGCGTCTGTCTCTGGCTCACCGCTAGCCAGCGAATGCAGATTTTAATTTAGCAGCTGATGATATGATGCGCTGAACGATTTAATCACACTGGTGTGATTGTATCAAATATAGAAAATATAATTCGGCTATTTTTTCTCTTTTGAAAGCTGCATTCAAAATTCACTTGGCTCAAAAATCTGGCCAACTTTGACACCATGACACCTCTGCACTGCACCATGGTATTGTGGCAGAAATGTGGGATATTTGCATTGAATTTTATTACAGGAGTAATGGTATATAATTATAATATGTATTTGTGATTAAGCTATAGCATGTGTGCATTTATACCGAATGTTTTTAGTAGAGGTCGACCGATTCATCGGTTTTGCCGATTAATCGGCACCGATAGTTGATTGGCGGAACTATCGGTTATCGGCAAAAATCAATGCCGATAGTTTTCCGGGTTGCGTCCGTTGCTGGAGTGGCTGAGAAGGGTCCGCTGCCATTATACAGTATGAGAGCGGCCTCTAGAGGCGGAAATCACTGACAGCACCTGTTGTTTGTTTTGACACGTGACACTGCGTGCTGCACAGAGCGGGAAACGTCAAACTCAAAAGAAAATCCTGCCGCGGAACAGAGCACCATTCACATAGTTTTCCATTAAATTACATTATATTTGTCCCAAATCATTGTTAATGTACGTAATGACTTCACCCTAGGCTATGAATTATGTATTGTGCTCTTTCTGATGCTCTAATACAGTCTTTATGCTTCATATAGAGAGCTGTAATACAGATCGCACTTTCTCTTTCCCTTTGCTTTGTTTTTTTTAAACACCGAACTTCAAACTCATTTATGCCACATTGAAAATAGTTCGCAACAAAGTCACAGCTCAGCCGCTGCACATCTCCATTCAAACACAGCGGTGTCTCGTTTATGATCTGCGTTTTTAAACTAATCTAGTGAGTCAGTGATTCATGATTACCTGTTCATAAAGACAATCACTTGATTCATTCCTGAATGAATCAGCCGTTCGAATGAATCAATTGAATGAATGATTCAGTGATAAAATCAGTGACTTGTCGCCACCTGCTGGCGGATTTAGTTTCATTTTTAAGTTCTTTAAATCATTTAATATTTCTATATTCGAAATTTTTTAAAACATTAATCTTTTAATCATTAATCATTAAATTCATTAATAAACATGAATTTATGGATTTAATTGCACTCGCGCGTCCTCTGATCCTCATTAAATGTCTGAAAATCCACCTACAAGCCACTTGTGTGCTCTTCTGTGCCACCTCTGTACAAATTAATTTTAATACTGATTTCATTTCATTAGTAACTTATTCTTCTCATTCTACTTGTTCTTATTCTATGGTTTTATCTAGAATTTTTTAAAAGTTTATAAAAAAATGTTTTTTTTTTTAAAATTTGACATAAAAGATGACACTTTTAATAAAGTTAGAAAAATGCCATAACATGAATTTATGGATTTAATTGCACTCACGCCACCTCTGATCCTCATTAAATGTCTGAAAATACACCTACAAGCCACTTGTGTGCTCTTCTGTGCCACCTCTGTACAAATTAATTTTAATACTGATTTCATTTGATTAGTAACTTATTCTTCTCATTCTACTTGTTCTTATTCTATGGTTTTATCTAGAATTTTTTAAAAGTTTATAAAAAAAATGTTTTTTTTTTTTAAATTTGACATAAAAGATGACACTTTTAATAAAGTTAGAAAAATGCCATTACAAAAGGTAAAAACAAAATTCTACTGTAAATCACTTTAAGGAGTCAAATATCACCTCGTAATGGGAAGGGTATTTTTGATCAAATTTTGGTGCTCCTAAATTTTTGACTGTGCTCCTAAATTTTTTAAGTTAGGAGCACAAGCGCTCCTAAAAAGAAAAATAAGCGTAGAGCCCTGCATCGTTGCGCTTTTGTCCAGTGTGTGATTTGCGTATTTTTATTTTTATTTTGATTAGATAATCATGCAGTGTTCTAAAATAGAAGCAAATAAAGTGTGAGAGTACACATACAATATCAATAACATATGTCTGTAATTTTAATGCTATGGCCTTGTGTAGATATTTAAAGATGGCCATCTTTAAGCATGACTGTTGAAATTACTTTACAGTAAGAGTCCTTTTGTAATATTAATGAAAGCTGTAAAAGTATTGTTCCTAGTGTGTTCATTTCAACATTTACTCTTACTAATAGGCTATATTTTTACATTTTAACGTTTCTTTTTTTAACATTAGTAAACTATGAAATAACTTTAATGATCAATATAATAATTCATATTAATATGTTTATTCATTTACAAAGTATGGTTCAGTACTGCTGCTACTTTTTTTTAAATAGTAAAGCTCTGTTTTAGTTTTCGTTTACCATTTTAAATTTATCATGATTTAAATGTATGCTACTATGGGAGACCAATGCTTAATAAAAAATAAAAAAACTTGGTAACTTGATCAATTTAACCATATAAAACTGAGGCTGCTACAATTTTTACAGATGTTACTGATTTTTATAATGAACACAAATTTACCTCTGCATCCTAACTCAAGCCACTATCAAATGTGCATTTCTAAAAGACAAAAATAGTGATATTATTATTATTAATATTATCAGGTTCTTGATTTGAAACGATATCACTCATTAGAACATGCTGAAACTTAGAAATTAATTTTTCTACTTACATATTTATTTTGGTTAATTAATCGGTATCGGCCAGTGTGGTCCAACCTAGCTATCGGTATCGGTAAAATCCACTATCGGTCGACCTCTAGTTTTTAGTATACAGTTTTTCATACAAATAGGCTACCTAAAAACCATACAGTTATATTTTTACCATGGTATTGAGGTGCTATATGTGTGGTTTTAACTGTGTTTATCATGATTTAAATGTATGCTACTATGGGAGACCAATGCTTAATAAAAAATAAAAAAACTTGGTAACTTGATCAATTTAACCATATAAAACTGAGGCTGCTACAATTTTTACAGATGTTACTGATTTTGATAAAGAACAAAAATTTACCTCTGCATCCTAACTCAAGCCACTATCAAATGTGCATTTCTAAAAGACAAAAATAGTGATATTATTATTATTAATATTATCAGGTTCTTGATTTGAAACGATATCACTCATTAGAACATGCTGAAACTTAGAAATTAATTTTTCTACTTACATATTTATTTTGTTAAGGAAAATGAATGGTCTGGTTTCTACAACTGTCACTTTAGAGCAAAAATCTGGCTTTAAACTTGAAAGAAATAAAGATTTGACATTTATCGTGATAATTATCGATATCGATTGATATGAAAAAAAATAATATCGTGATACTTTTTTTGGCCATATCGCCCAGCCCTATTCTAAAATGGCAAAATGTAACAGATGTGTGTTTTTCTGCACCTCAATGCCCTCTTTGTTGAGCGCGTACTCGTCAAAGTTCATTATGGCGGTTTTGATGGTGCGCGGCGGGGGAAGAACCGTCAGACCGATGTTGATGGAGTTGCTGCGTTTGGAGTCCAGAATGATGATCTCCTGCCGTTTCCCATCCGCTGCCGTTTTCTGTTCGACACACAGATACAATCATCAGTGCAACAATTAAGAGTCATTTGTTTTTTGTGCAGTCAAAAAAAACACCAGAACAAAACTTCATTTGACTTGAGCAAAAAATTAGTTTTGATTGTACTGTGACGGTGATTCTGCTCACCTTAGTCACGGGCATCTCTTTGGATTTGCTCTCAAACAGGTGTTCAAGTTTAGCCGTGTCAAGTTTGACAGGTTCAAGTCTGGACCAGAGCGACTCTTGGCTGCGTTTGTGGTTGCGGTAGATCCAGTCGGCGGGCCGGACTTCACTCCAGAACAAGCGGATGGTCTTCTTCCTCTTCTGGAAGAGCGGCGCTTGCTCCGTCTGCTGCTGAGGAGGGGGCGGAGCCTGGCTGGAGAAGCAGGGAGGGGGCGGAGCCTGGCTGGAGAAGCATGGAGGGGGCGGAGGCGAGCGAATGCTGAACATGGGAGGGGGCGGAGGACAGCCGAACATAGGGGGTGGGGCCGGGAGGTTAAAGGGGCAGGGAGGTGGCGGAGGGGGCGGAGCCTGCAGATCGCCAGAGCTGTATAAACTCCCAGAGTCCAGGACATCCTGGTCATCCTCGTCTCCCAGATCGGTGAAGTCGATGTCGCCGATGCGCAGATCCCGCGGATTCGCCATCAGCTGGTCCCAGATGCAGTCCGACTCCTTCTTCGGAGCCGGCGGAGGAGGAGGAGGAGGTTCCTGCGTTTCTATTGGTGGAGAGGTGAGACCCTTCACGATGTCTCCGAAGCGCTCGGCAAACGATCGCACGTTGCTCTGGTTCGCGACTTTAATGTCTTCTTCATTCATAGCATCGTTCTCTTCCCGAGGCGTCGCGTCCTGCGACGAATCCTCAGCCTTTTCTTTTGCATCTCGCTCTTTGTCCTCGGCCAGCTCGTCTTCGTCCTCGTCTTCCTCTGAGGGTTTCTTGCTCTGCGAGTAAAGCATGTCCAGCATGAAGAGCTTGCTGTCGAGGATCTTGTTTCGTTGTTCATTCACGTCTCTGACGCTCTGACCTGCAGCAAACACACAGACAGAAGGACCTCAGATACACCAGTTACTAGTTTACCGACGGTTAAGCCCATCTCTGATGATCATGATTTTAGCTACCATTAAGAGTGCAGTACTCACATTTTGCTATGTTTAAATACATTTAGCTAGTTCTGTCAAACGATTAATCGCATCCAAAATAAAAGTTTTTGTTTATATAATATATGTGTACCGTGTATATTTATTATGTATATACAAATACACACACACATGCATGTATATATTTCAGAAAAATATGTTACGTTTATATATTAAATATATATATTTATAATATAAATTATATGAATATAAATATAGACATGTAAATATTTTCAAAATATATAGTGTATGCATGTGTATTTATATATAAATAATAAATATACACAATTTGTATGCGATTCATCGTGATTAATTTTTTGACAGCACTACATTTAGCCATATTTTTCTTAAAATGAGTGTAGAAAATGTCAAAAAAGTCTACATTTGGGCCAACTGGTTATTATAGTTTAGCATTTCAAAATGGATTTATATATATTAAATATATATTTAATTGTGCATTATTTTATATTTATATTTAATTTTAATATTATAATAACAATATAATAATATAAATAATTTACATTGGTATATATGAATATATATTATGTATTACATTTAATAATATTCTTTATTTTAGTTTAATTTTAATTAGCTTTACATTTTAGTTCACCTTTTATTTTAATATTTCAGATTTTCAATATTTAATTTTACATTACTTATAGAATTAAAATAATTAATAATAATTACTATAATATCATTAATTCATAATAAATTATATGATAAATTAATACAATTACATACAATACATGTGTATGTATATTATGTATTATATTACATTTAATAATATTTATTGCTTTAAATTTTACCATAATATTTTAATATTTCAGATATTTCAGATTAAACTTACATTTTAGTCCAGTTTTACTTGCAGCAATTTTTATAGTTTAATGTATTTGTGTATTTTTTGTATATTTCAGATTTTTTAAATGTAATATTTAATCTTGTAATATATATATATATACTTTATATACACACACACAATTATTTTGTATTATATTCAATATAACACATACGTTTATTAAGTATTTTGTTAAATATAATAATATTTAATATTTACCATTTTTAACCAACTTTAGTTTATTTTTAACCAAATTTAGTTTATTTATAGTTGAAGCAATGATTATTTTTAATAGTTTTTTTTATGGACACATTTCAGTAATATTATTTAGTAGTGATGCACCGCTAGGATTTTTTTTGGCCGATACGATACCGATTTTAACAAACAACTATTGGCCGATACCGATACCGATTTTAACAAACAACTATTGGCCGATACCGATACCGATTTTAACAAACAACTATTGGTCGATACCGATACCGATTTTAACAAACAACTATTGGTCGATACCGATACCGATTTTAACAAACAACTATTGGTCGATACCGATACCGATTTTAACAAACAACTATTGGTCGATACCGATACCGATTTTAACAAACAACTATTGGCCGATACCGATACCGATTTTAACAAACAACTATTGGCCGATACCGATACCGATATTGGTCAACTGCATAAAGCAGGGGTTAAAAACGCTTTAAAGACATTAAAGTAGGCCTATTTTTGCAGCATGGATAAAAAAACGCTACTCCTATAAGCGTTCTGAGAGGAAAAAACTAAATTAGTAGGCTGTACGATGCATTTTATTATTAATATATTATTATTATTTTATTATTATCATTCAGAAATAATGTAGGCTAAAACACCGGTAAATAAAGCAAAATATTTTCTCTGTTCACAAAAAAGTTTTACAGATTTTATTTTGTTTTGGCAAGTATTTAATTATTTTACCCAGAGAAAAACGCTGGATTATGCAACTCGTTGTCTCCATGCAGTTAATTAATAAACTATCGGTATCGGCCCTTTTCATGCTATTTCCGATATGCCGATGGCTTTAAAATAATAAAAAATCGGCTGATAAATATCGGCGGCCGATACATCGGTGCATCCCTATTATTTAGTAATCATTATTCTCACCCGTGTCCGCTCCGCCTGCAGTGAGTCGATCTTCTCTTTCTAGTGTGCTGCTGGCTGAGGATATACTGGAGGCGGAGCAGTTATCCTTCTCGTTCACTTCTTCGTTCTGTCGTTCTTTATCACTCAAGATCCCGCTGTCCTCCGCTTCTCCATCCGGCGCTTCCCTTTCAGACCCCTCCTCTTCCTCTTCCGCCCGCTCCTCGGCTCCGCCCACTTCCTGTTCAGCACTTATCTCCTCCACTTCCTCTTCCTGTTCCTCTCTGGGTTCTATGTCCTTCTCCTCGGGTTCTAGACTGGCCTCCACGTCCGGTTCTAGATCATTGGTGTCTGTGGAGAAGGTGATTTTTCTTTATGTTTTTGAGTCTCTTCTGTTCATCAAGGCTCAATTATTTAATCAAAAATATAGTAAAAATTGTGAAATATTATTATGATTTAAAACAGCTGATTTCTATGTGAATATGTGTTAAACTGTAATTTATTTCTGTGATGCGCAGCTGTATTTTCAGCATCATTACTCCAGTCTTCAGTGTCACATGATCTTCAGAAATTATTCTAATATGCTGATTTAAGAAACATTTCTGATTATTATCAAAGTTGAAAACAGTCGTGCCGCACAATATTTTTGTGGAAACCATGATACATTTTATTTTTCAGGATACACAGATGAATAGAAAGTTCAAAAGAACAGCCTTTATTTGAAATAGAAATCATTTGTAACATTATAAATATCTTCAGTCACTTTTGATCAAATTTTTGTTTTTAATCTTACTTGCATAGAATGATTTCTGAAAGACTGGAATAATGATGCTTTGATCACAGCAATAAATTACATTAGACTATAGATTCACATAGGTAACAGCTGTTTTAAATGGTAATAATATTTCACAATTTTTACTGTATTTTTAATTAAATAAATGCAACCTTGGTGAACAGAAGAGAGCAGTATATAGTGTGTATAGTGTGCTTGTGATCAGGATCAACATGTGACTTCCTGCATCGTCCTGCACTAATAAAGTCCCTCAGATGACGGGCTCTGTAAGGGCCCTCTGTGGCCCCGACTGCATATGAACAGGGAACACACCTGTTTGTGTCAGCACTCCACCAAACACACACACACACACACACCTCCTCTGAGAAATAACACACAGCCTGTTTCAGAGCGAGTGTGCGTGAGGTGACGGAGAGGTTACAGTATCAGCGCTCATGACTGAGTCCTTTTAAACAGATAAATAAAGACGCACTGACTTCAGAACAGTTGCTTTTGCTTTGGTTTTTCCAAACACGTTTCCTCACGCGAGTTAAAGACTTGACCTGCCACCAAGACACGCGTCTCACACACACACACACACACACACACACACACACTTTCACTACTAAAAAGTTAATGAAGTAATAAATATAATTTATTATAACCCCTATATAAATCAAGCATCACACGTGGCACATGTTTAAATCATTGCATGTCGAACATGTGCAAAATTCATGATTCTGTGAAACACATCAGCAGCTGTGAGACATTTCAACATGATAAACGTCCATGACATCCTAAAAAACAATCATCTCTGTCCACACACACAAACATCTACCTGCTTCTGACGCTTGACGTGAATCCAGACGCCTTCAGTGATTAAAACTAGACAGACGGCTCAACGGTTACTCATTTTGTGTGTTTTTTCTCTGAAATGATGTTATATGATGACATGCGTTCAGTGATTATAATGTGAGCCTGCAGCACAAAAGCAGTGTTGAGTCGCTGGGGGATATTTGCAGCAATAGCCAACAATACATTGTATGGGTCACAATTATACATTTCTCTTTTATGCCAAAAATCATTAGGATATTAAGTAAAGATCATGTTCCATGAAGGTATTTTGTACATTTCCTACCGTAAATATATCAAAACTTAATTATTGATTAGTAATATGCATTGCTAAGAACTTCATTTGAACAACTTTAAAGATGATTTTCTCAATATTTAGATTTTTTTCCACCCTCAGATTCCAGATTTTCAAATAGTTGTATCTCAGCCAAATATTGTCAGATCCTAACAAACTGTACATCAATGGAAGTATTATTTATTGACCTTTATGGCTGGTTTTGTGGTCCAGGGTCACGTACTGAGCTTGTGACAGGTGGATTTACCTGGTTCAGAGGGCGGGTACGACGTGATGGGCGTGTCCTGCTCGTCCTGTGATGTCACAGAGGAGGGCGTGGCACTGCGGGATGATTGACAGGTGTCCGTCGGGCTCAGAGTGAGGCTGAGACCTCGAGGCGCAGAACGCATTCGCTCTCGCTCAAACTCTTCGTCCGCCAGTCGCTCGGCCGTCCGAAACCTGACACACACGTTCATCAAACACGGTCAATCCTCGCTCTGCAGACACATTCTCACGCTGTGTGCTTTCAGTCAAACGGGACGGGAATGTGTGGAAGCCAGAGGAGGAGGAAAAATGTGTTTGGATTCGAGGAAAAGTGGGTTAAAAAAGGCTGAGGAGGGAAAATAAGACTAAACCTGTTCAAGATGTGACATCACACACACACACACACACACACACACACACACACACACTACATGACCTAAGAGACACCTCAAAAAAGCAGAATAGTCTGATGCATTAATACAAAAGTATTTAAGAATATTAAAATAAAAAAATAAATACTTAAATACTTAATATTAATTTGTTCATGTGATAATGTATTTTTATCTAGCTCTCTCTCTCTCTCTCTCTATGTATATATATATATGAAAGATTATAGAAGGTAAGAATTATTAAAATATAATAAATATTATAGTATTAAAAACAAGTTACAATATAATACAGTAATTGACAGTAATATATATATATATATATATATTGTAATATATAAATATCTATCTAAATAAGTAACAAAAAAACCTTATGCAAAATGCATTACAAAGACTATAAAAGGACACACACTTTATATATATATATATAACTACATATAACTAACAGTAAAGATTTCAAATATACTTTTATATTGCATTAATTTCACATTCAATCTTCAAATTAATATACAAACAACATAAAAACAGTATACAGTATATTTTTTTAAATATTTGTTTAATGGCATCTTTATTTATGACTGAAGGCCAGTATCAATGATACTAATACTGATTTCTCTCATATTTAACCATTGATTATAGCATTCAACATTACAGTATAATTGAGCGCTATCAATTTAACATTTATTAGACTTTAAAAAATAACTTCTAATTTAAGTGAACTTAAAACAACCTTCACATAAACCCATTATAATAAATGTCATATTTACC